CACGGAGCCCCAGATAACCCAAGATGATCTCCTATCTCAAGGTCCTTAATGTCATCCCATCTGCAGAGTCCCTTCTGCCATGGAAGGAAACATATTCACAGGTTCTGAGGATTAAGACGTGGAGGTTCGGTGGACATTTAGGGGTCTTTATTCTGCAGACCACACTGCTGTGGGACCAGTGACCAGTGAGTTCTAGCTCTCATGAGAGCAGTCTTAGCTTTGGGTCTTGGCCCTGGCTTTTCACTGAGCAACCTCAAACACAACTCTGCCTCCCTATGCCTCAGTTTCCCCACCTGTAAACAGGGGTGGCACATCCTATCTTGGGCGGAACAGTCCCGTGTGATTTGGGGTAAGGTCCCTGCCCTGACCTCATACTTCTCTGTAAACCAGGAGGGAGTTACCTGGCTCTCACTTTGCCTGGTGTGACTCGGGTACCAGGAGACAGCGGCTCCCAGGGGAACAGAGCTGGGGGCTGAGGCTGGTTCAGGTTCCACGGGACCCTCACTCTCCAGTCAGCTGGGCTCAGGGCCCCCTCCCATCAGCCAGCAAGTCCCTGGGCTCCATCTCCAGCACAGACCCTGATCCCCCATCTGTCCCTCTTCCTGAGTTCCCTATCCTGACCCTGATGCCCCAGCCTCCTGCTAGGTCTCTCTGCCACCCTACCAGCCCCTCTGCTTAAAGCCATCCGAACCCAAGCTTCTCACCGAAGCCCACAAACACCTCAGTCCCCCTCTTCTCTATCCACAAGCTCCAGCCACATGGGTCTCTTCGTTGTCACTCAAACACGTCACACTCATTCCCTGCCACAGGGCCTTTGCACCTGCTGTGCCCCTGCCTGGAATTCTTTCTCCAAACGTCTCATGTCTGGGACTTGCACAGCTTCAGGTCTCATCTTAAATATCACCTGAGAGACACCTTCCCTGACCACCCAGCTAGAGAGGCCACCCAGTCCCCTGTTCTGACATCACATGATTTTAACTCTGCATAGCCCGTACCACTACCTGTGATTTCTCTGTTTATTTGTTCTCTTATTTATTTACTATCTTTCTCTCCCACTAGAATCTAAGCTCCCCCAGAGCAGGGACCAGATCTTTCTCATTTCCTACTTACTAGCAGTACCCAGCAGGAGTAGGCTTCCATTAAATACTGGCTGCATTGATAAAAAGCATCACGATTGTTATCGCCCAACGTTCCGAGCTTCAGCAACTCGAGTATCTGAATTCTGAACATTCTAAATCCCACATCCATAGCCAATGGCCAGACGAGATCTGTCCCCTGATGGGATGCGGTGTAAAGGAAGCCCCCAGTCCACCCATGAAACATTCCTGCGAATAACATCAAACCTGCATCCAGTCACGGCTCTGGCACAAACCAGGACACAGGAAAAGAAGATGGCACAGGAGCAAGGTGAATGACAGCACGGGAAAACAGACAGATCCAGACGTGGGCAGTCGACAGTGGGACTGCCAGACGCCCCTGCCCATGTAGACCCTGGGGAGCCAAGAGCAGGTCCGGGCTGGGACCTGGGGCTTTGCTCTTCTAACAGGCTCCCAGGTGACTCGATGCCACCCGCCTGGACCACACGTGGAGGACTAGCATTTGCAACTTTCAAAAAGTGAATGCCATTGGGGGGGGCGTGAGCTTCCTGGGGCTGCCAACCAAAGCACCACAAACCAGGAGGCTTAAAACAGCAGAGATTTATTCTCTCACTTCTCTCTCCAAAATCGAAGAGTGGCAGGGCCGCGCTCTCTCTGAGACTCCAGGGGAGGATCCTTCCTGCCTCTCCCAGCTTCCGGTGGCTCCCACCAATCTGCTGTTCCTGGGCTTGGGGCCCCATCCCTCCAGTCTCTGCCTCTGCCTTCACGTTGCTTCTCTCCTGTGTTTCTGTGTCCAAATGTCCTTCCTCTTATAAGGACACCAGTCACTGGATTAGAGCTCCCCCTAATCCAGTAAGACCTCACGCTAACTTGATCTCATCTGCAATGACCCCATATCCAAATAAGGTCCCTTTCACAGATTCACAATGCACATGAATTTGCGGGGGATACTATCCAACTCAGTTTGGGGGGGAGTCGTTTTGGGGGACTGCTCTAGAGAAAGCAAAGACACATAAAACCCCAATGCAAACACACAAACGTTCACCACGTTGGTCCCAGAGAGGCATGCAAGGGCGTTCTGGAATCGCTGGTCATTCAGCTGCAACAGCTCACCGTGGTTTGCAGGCGAACAGCTGTCTCGGGGCCAGGTGGACTACTTTAAAGGGAGTGTCTCACACCTGCAGCTTACGGCCAGAATGTCTTATCAAAATCTACGCACGGGCACAGACATATCGAGCAGGGGGCGTTAAAACGTTAACATGGGAGGTCCATTCGCTCCATTTTTCTGTACGTCTCAAAAGACTCCTATTAAAAATCCGGGATCAGTAAACAAAGGCCTTTTTCCTTTAGCTGTACTTGAAGTCCCTGTCGTGTCACATCTGGAACCCTGGGGTCCGTCTGGGCGCCCCCCACCTCAGGCCAAGGTGTCCACAGGTCCCCATTCTGTTGTCTGGGATGGAGCCTTTCACGGGGGGTACCGGATCCTCACCATCCGGATTCCCACCAAACCCGAATGTGGGGGGGGGGCGCGCTTAGCCTGCGCATGCGCGCCCCCGCCCACGTCACGCCGTGGGAACGCGGACCCCGGCGCCTCCCATGTGGGGGTCCGGGTGGGGGAGGGTGGGGC